CTTCACATTCTTAGTGTATGGCTTAGTGTAATAAATGTCTAATGCAGTGATTTTCTTTCTTTTTTTTTTTTAATTTGCTGTTAAAATTTTTTTTTTTTTGTAATTTAAAAACAGATGGAGATGGGATCTCACTTGATCACCCAGGCTGGTCTTGAACTCCTGGGCTCAAGTGATCTTCCTGCCTCGGCTCCCAAAGTGCTGGCTTTGCAGGCATGAGCCACCACATCCAGCCATGGAGTGGTTTTCAGTGTGGCCTCTGTACCAGTGGCATCAACATCTCTGGAAACTTGTTAGAAATGCAGATTCTTAGGCCCCACTCAATATTTACTGGATTAGAAACTAAGGAGGTGGGCCCCAGTAATCTGTGTTTTAACAAACTTCTCAGGTGATTCTGATACCTTATAACAAATCCTGCAGGTGATTCTGATAGTTCTAATAGTTAGAAAATTATTAAATCGTCCAGTGAAATGAATGATTGACAACATTCACAGAGAGGAATAAACTCTGATCTCATGATAAGTGGAGGAGAACCCTTCCACTTGTGTTCAGTCTTTAGAAAAAGGAAACAGCCATGCCTTAGTGATGGCTGCAAGAGCTTAAAATAGTGAGCATATATAGTTACATTGACAGTTTTGTTTGTTCGTTTGTTTTGAGATGGAGTTTCGCTTTTGTTGCCCAGGCTGGGGTGCAGTGGTGCTATCTCAGCTCACTGCAACCTCCACCTCCCTGGTTCAAGCGATTCTCCTGCCTCAGTCTCCCGAATAGCTGGGATTACAGTCATGCACCACCATACCTGGCTAATTTTGTATTTTCAGTAGAAACGGGGTTTCTCCATCTTGGTCAGGCTGGTCTCAAACTCCTGACCTCAGATGATCCACCCGCCTTGGCCTCCCAAAGTGCTGGGATTACAGGCGTGAGCCACCGTGCCTGGCCAACCGTATTTTGGCTCAAAATCTGTTCTGAATCTACTGACTTAAACCTTTAGAGATCAAAAGGAAGACACAAGCTTGTTATTGAAAAATTACCCATAATATCACCATCAGAGATAACCAAATTATCAATAATTATTTCTAGGTAATATGGTTTCTATTCTTTTGCTTAGATTTGTGAGATTTTCTGCAGTTATGTATTTTTTATTTGGAAACCTTTATATTTAAGTAATTTCAAATATTAATATTTTAAGAAATAAGTTGAAATAAACTCATCTGAAGTTTTTACCCTTATGAATATATCTTTTCACTTTTTAAAAACTGACAAAAATTGTGTATATTGTGTACAATATGTTTTGAAATGTGTGTACATTGTGGAATGGCTCAATCAAACTAGTGTCTTTTCATTTTCTAACATTTAAAGTGGGAATTAAAGAAATAAGATAAATCCTGGGTCATATTATATGTAGTTTTACCTAACTGATTACTGCTTATTTTATGGATCTGTGTATGCTTTACAAAATACTTACTGAACATTGTGTTGTTCAATAAGCTTCTGTTATAAGGCTGGGCACTAGGTTTTTACTTACAGTGCAAAACATTGTTTTTGTGGGATAATCCAAATTAAGTTGATATCATGTTAACTTAGAGGATTTCTTTCAGGAAAGTAGCCTGTCATAAGAGTAAAAACTTTAAGAAATCTTGATTCTTTTCCTAGTTCTAGAACAGATTCAGGCTCCTTTTGAAAGAAGATCTTCATAGATCTCTTCACATGGTGATTTAAATTATTTTTATTATATAAAGTCTAATGCTTGTGTCTACTGAGGCAGCTAGATATACTTTTTTTTTTTTGGCTTATGGTTCCCAAATAACTCCAAACCCCAAAATTATAAATTAAATGTACTTATAAATTAAATGCCATAGAAACTATACTAATTTATATAAGTATTTATAAAATTAAATGCCATAGAAACTATAGAACTTGATAAAATTCAAATTAGCAACATTAATATAACAACTGATGTTTTGCTGAAATTAAATGCCAGTGTTGGGTTTAGTAATAGAAATATTTTTGTATTTTATTTTTTACTGGTGGTTATTTTCATGTTAAGCATTTTAGACATGATCATTATGGGAATCATTGTCATCATAGATATTACTGTTTTTAAACCTAATCTGTTTTGTTGATTGGCCAGTTTAATGGTACATTGTAAAGATAGTACTGAAAAATACTAATTTAATGTCAAATTCTTTTTTTAAATTAGGTTAAATTGTATGTATTTACAGGACATGAAGTTTTGGAATATATATGTGCGTTATGGAATGGCTTAATCAAGCTAATTAATATATATATTACCTCACATAGTTGTCATTGCTGTGAGAACACTTAAAATCTAATCTCTTGGCATTTTTCAGTACAGTATATTGCTAATAACTATAGTCACCATGTTGTACAATAGGTCTCTTGAAGGTATTCCTCCTGTCTAACTGAAATTTTGTAACCTTTGACCAACATCTATCTCCCCAACTCCCTCCTCCCCCATGGCCCCAGTCCCTGGTAACTACCATTGTGTTCTCAACTTCTGTAAGATCAACTTTTTAAGGTTGCACGTATGAGTGAAATAACGGAGTATTTGCTTTTCGGTGCCTGGCTTGTTTCATTTAACACAGCAGTCCCCAGTCTTTTTGGCACCAGAGACTGACTTCATGGAAGACAGTTTTTCCATGGACTGGATGGTGATGTTTCAGGATGAAACTCTTTCACCTCAGATCATCAGGCATTAATTAGATTATCCTAAGAAGCATGCAACCTTGATCCCCAGGTGTGCGCAGTTCACATTAGGGTTTGGGCTCCTGTGGGAATCTAATGCCAGCACTGCTGATCTGACAGGAGGCGCAGCTCAGCGGTAATGCTGTTGGCTCACCTCCTGCCATGTGGCCTGGTTCCTAACAGGTACCCGTCCACAGCCCAGGGGGTTGGGGCCCCCTGATTTAACATAATGAAGAACCTTCCAGGTTTATTCATATTGTTGCATATCATGGAAATTCTTTCCTTCTTTGAGGCTAAATAGTATTGCATTTTGGGTATGTGTGTGTATAATATATATGTGTGTATATATTATATGTACATATACATACATACACATACCAGATTTTCCTTATCTATTCATTTGTTGATGGAGTTGATGGACAATTAGGTTGATACCATATCTTGGCTATTGTGAATAGTGCTGCAGTGAACATTGGGAGTACAGATATTCTCTTTAATATATTTACTTCCTTTGGATTTCTTACTGTCACCTTTTTTATTGCCTATGTAAAGGTACAGTTATTACTATGAAGTATTAGAAAATGCTTCATAAAAAGAACCAGTCTGCCCAGTACAATTGAATATGGAATTGACTGCTCTGGGATACTTTGAATTTGGCGTGCCTGTGTGTTGACTCTCTTTTCTGCTGTGTCTGCTTCACTTGGCTTCACCTTGGCCCCAGCAGGATTATAAACACCATTGCAGAGGTGGGCACTGCAATCTTGTGGCAGCATTCAGATACAAAGACCTAAGACGTATTTTTTTTTAGCTTAACATGAAAATGAAGACAATTTTTAAATTCAGAGAACTCATTAGATCTCCAGGAATAAGTCCTTAGATCCAAGCAACTCCAGTTTTATATCTATAAATACTATTACTATGATTCTAATAAGTCCATGAACAGTAACATATAAGTAGCATTTAAATACTCACAATATAAAAAAGCACTCACCAAAACATTGAACAGCTAGCCTAGTTTTGTTTTGTTTTGAGACGGAGCCTCGCTCTGTCGCCCAGGCTGGAGTGCAGTGGCACGATCTTGGCTCACTGCAACCTCCACCTCCTGGATTCAAGCAATTCTCCTGCCTCAGCCTCCTGAGTGGCTGGGATTACAGGTGCACGCCACTGTGCCCGGCTAATTTTTTTGTATTTTTAGTAGAGATGGGGTTTCATCATGCTGCAAGGCTGGTCTCGAACTCCTGACCTCGTGATCCACCTGCCTTGGCCTCCCAAAGTGCTAGGATTACAGGCGTGAGCCACCGCGCCTGGCCTAGTTAGCCTAGTTTTAAACCTTTTTAAAAAAATACTTGTGTCAAGTTTAAATCACGTGATTTTCTGCCATTAACACTTTGAAGTCTATTTTTAATTTTTGTCTGTTGTACATTCTCCCTACACTTTTTCTTGCCCAGTTTTTTATCCCCATTTTCTCCCCATCTCTCCTGCTATGTATTTATTATGGCTTCATGGTTCTGGTAAGGGTCACAGTTCCCTGTCCTGATGTACAGGGAACTGATTGATGCACCGTCCATCCCCCTTGATTGGCCCTTAGGTGGACATATAACTCAAACTGGGCCAATTAAGAGTCTTTAACTGAGGTTCTTCAGACTGAAAGCCAAGAGTAAGAGTCTTTTGTTCCTTGTAGATTAAACTGGGATGACATGAGAGTGGAAATTCCTGAAACCTAAGGTGTTTCACTTTACCTTCTCATCTCCTGAAAATTATCCGTAGGGGAAGTCATTTGCAATAGGATAGGACAAGATTTAACAAGACCAGGAGAGAGAATCCTGGTTGTGATGGAGTCGCATCTTTATCTCTTTTTTTTTTTCTTCAGACAGAACCTCACTCTGTTGCCCAGCCTGGAGTACAGTGGCACAATCTTGGCTCACTGCAACCTCTGCCTCCCAGGTTTAAGCAATTCTTCTGCCTCAGCAGCTGGAATTACAGGCGTGTGCCACCATGCGTAATTAATTTTTCTACTTTTAGTAGAGATGGGATTTTACCATGTTGGCCAGGCTGTTCTCGAACTCCTGACCTCAGGTGATCCGCCTGCCTCAGCCTCCCAAAGTGCTGGGATTATAGGTGTGAGCCACCGTGCCCAGCCAAGTCTGCATTTTTGATACTGTAGCTGCTCCATTATATTTCATCAAATTGTCTTTTTGGTTGAAGCCAGTTCCAGTTGGGTCTTTCACTTGGTGCTAGAAAGCATCCTTAAATAATCTGTGTTGTAATTTATAAGATGTATCCTTTCTTTTTATATCTAGGTGAAGATGGAGCCGGAAAAACAAGCTTAATAAGAAAAATTCAGGGAATAGAGGAGTATAAGAAAGGAAGAGGACTGGAATATTTGTACTTAAATGTGCATGACGAAGACAGGGATGGTGAGTGTCATTTGTAACATAAATTTCTGAAGTCTATTGTGAGGTGCACTGCCATTCACATTAGTCTTTGATTTTTTTTTTTTTTTTTTTTAGTGTGTAAGTTTTTACTAGAAGTTCTGTGATGTCATGCTGGTCAAGAAATAGCTATGTTTAGGCATACTTTTATTAATTTGGGATTGGGATTCGTATATGATACTTTTAAGCATCTTAAGCTATCCTGGTGTGCAGATATTTCTTTCCGGCCATACCTGAAGAATCTCAATTTCTCAGCTCATTTTCCCTCAGATAGTGATTGTTTTGTTGACTCCAATTTCACCTTCTAATTTTCTGATAAAAATATTATCTACTTAGCTTTTATCTATCAGCTATTTTTTCTTCTGTAGATCACTTGCCTTCTCATTTTTGTATATAATATCTTGGTATGCATATCTCTATCTGCTGATGGTAAAAACATAAACAAGTTATGCATCCTCTGGTTTTAGATTAAGAAATATGAAGTAGAGGATGCTACAGTGAAGTCATTTTAGGCCTTTAGATAAATTAGAAGATGGCCTAAATAGTTGAACTTTACTGGCAGTTAAGTCATTTTAGGCCTTTAAATAAATTGGTAGATGGCCTAAATTGTTGAATTTTGTCAAAGCCAATAGCACATCTCCTGTGGAGATGCACTAAAATACCAAGTGGTACTGTTAGTTGGATGATGAAATTACTTAATCTCGTTGCCTTGGTTACTTTGTTTTGTCTGTTGTAGATCAAACAAGATGTAATGTATGGATCTTAGATGGAGACCTGTATCACAAAGGCCTCCTTAAATTTTCACTGGATGCCGTATCTCTGAAGGATACCCTAGTTATGCTGGTTGTTGACATGTCAAAGCCTTGGACTGCTTTGGATTCTTTACAGAAATGGGCAAGTGTTGTTAGAGAACATGTTGACAAACTGAAAATCCCTCCTGAAGAAATGAAACAAATGGAGCAAAAGTGTAAGTAGTCTAGAAATAATAATGTAGGTTTCAAAAACAAAATATCTTGGCTGACTTTAATCATTAGAAATTTTTGACTATGAAAAAGGTTTAATGAAGTAAGCATATTGTAAGTACTTTTTTTTTTTTGACTCACTGCAACCTCTGCCTCCTGGGTTTAAGCTGTTCTCCTCCCTCAGCCTCCTGAGTAGCTGGTATTAGAGGCGCCTGCCACCATGCCCTGCTAATTTTTGTATTTTCAGTAGAGACGGGGTTTCACCATATTGGCTAGGCTGGTCTCGCACTCCTGACCTCATGATCCACCCCCCTCGGCCTCACAGAGTGCTGGGATTACAGGCGTGAGTCACCGGCCTGGCCTCTAACAACTGTTTTTAAAATTCTGTTTAGATGATGTGCTAGGTTTTAATACAGTTTCAAATTAGAAACATAAGACACAATGGTAAACTGTTTAGTAGAGATGCCTTTTCTCCTTGCCAAAAAGCTGTGTGTGTTCATTTTGGAAAGTAGCTTTGCAGGGTGAAAAAATGGAATCTTTCTTCAGCTGCTCATTTTCAGCAGTTTCATTTTTTAACTAGTAATCTTACTGACCTTGTCAAAATGAAATGTGCCTAGAAAGATGTTGACAGTATATATATAAAGATATTAAAATGGTTTTATGATTTACAAAGTACATATTTTATACATGCTCATGTGAATTGGAGATTTTTATGGGAATTATGAAAATTGTATGAGTCATTTCTAACATGTTGTAAGCCAGTAACATTTTTTATTTACTTTTTTTAAATTTTTGAGTCAGGGTCCCACACTGTTGCCCAGGCTGAAGTGCAGTGGCACAATCTTGGCTCACTGCAACGTCTGCGCCCTAGGCTCAAGCCATCCCCCAACCTCAGCCTCCCGAGTATCTGGGACTACAGGCACGTACCACCATGCCTGGCTAATTTTTTTATTTTTCGTAGACATAGGGTTTTGCCATGTTGCCCAGGCTGGTCTTGAACTCCTGAGCTCAAGTGATCCACCTTGCTCAGACCCCCAAAGTGCAGGGATTACAGGCATGAGCCACCACATTCAGCTGCCTGTAATATTTTTTAATGTCACTTAGAGTTCTTCATTCACCAGTATCGTGCTTTGCATAAGAAAATACATAGATGGGCCAGGCGTGGCGGCTCACACCTGTAATCCCAGCACTTTGGGAGACTGAAGCAGGTGGATCACGAGGTCAGAAGTTTAAGACCAGTCTGGCCAAGATGGTGAAACCCCGTCTCTACTAAAAATACAAAAAAAAAAAACAAACAAAAAAAAACAGCCCAGCATGGTGGCAGGCACCTGTAATCCCAGCTACTTGGGAGGCTGAGTCAGAGAATTGCTTGAACCCAGGAGGCAGAGATTGCAGTGAGCTGAGATTGTACCACTGCACTCCAGCCTGGGTGACAGAGCAAGACTCCGTCTCAAAAAAAAAAAAAAGGAAATACATAGATGAGCTCCTTTGTTGTTATGTACTGACAGTAACTTTTAAAGAGAATTTGACAGCTTGCTGGAATTTATGCGTAAGAAAACAGTAAAACTTGTATGTACTAAATCATTGAAAGAGACGTCTAAATACTTTTAATTTTGTTTGTTTGTTGGTTTGTTTACTGTTGCCTGTGGAGTTTTTGTTGTTGTTCTTCCCTAAGTCTAGATTTATTCTAGAGTAGTAGTTGTTCAACTGTGGTTCCCTGGACCAGCAGCACTAGTATCAGTATAGCTGGGAACATGTCAAAAATACACATTTTTCACTCCCCATCCTGGACCACTGAATTAGAAACTCTTGAGGGTGGAAACAGTAATCTGGGATTTAACAAGCCTTTGAAGTGATTCTGGTGCATGATAAAATTTGGTAGCCACTGTTAGATTACAGCCTCTGATCTTAAGGGTGGGAGTCACCAAGGCTGCTAAGGGTTAATACAGACCCCTGTGTTTCTGGAGGGAACGGTGCCCAACTTTTCGGGATTCCCTATTCCTTGACCCCATGTAAATTCAGAACAGTTTTCCTCCATATGAGTCAGTCTTCACGATCCAAAGATCTGGCTCATGATTACTTAAAGAGAAAACACACATTTTTTTTCTAAGTAAGTAATAATGTACATTCTTTGTTTTTTGAAAATTGAAAATAGGACTGGGCGCAGTGGCTCACGCCTGTAATCCCAACACTTTGGGAGGCCAAGGCAGGCGGATCACAAGGTCAGGAGTTCAAGACTAGCCTGGCCGATATGGTGAAACCCTGTCTCTTCTAAAAATACAAAAATGAGCTGGGTGTGGTGGTGGGCACCTGTAGTCCCAGTCCGTTGGGAGACTGAGGCAGGAGAATCACTTGAACACAGGAGGTGGGGGTTGCAGTGAGCCGAGGTTGTACCACTGCACTCCAGCCTGGTGACACAGTGAGACTCCATCTCAAAAAAAAAAAAAAAAGAAAAAATAGCCAGTCACAGTGGCTCACCCGTGTTATCCCAACACTTTGGTTTGCTGAGGTGGGAGGATTGCTTGAGCCCAGAGTTTGAGACCAGCCTGGGCAACATAGTGAGACCCCAGTCTCTACAAAAATAAAATAAAAAGTTAGCCAGGTGTGGTGGCACATGCCTGTAGCTACTTAGGAGGTTGAGCTAGAAGATCACTTGGGTTAGGGCTATAGTGAGCCATGATTGCACTGCTGTACTCCAGCATGGGTGACAGAGCAAGACCCTGTCTCAAATCAGTAAATCAGTAAATCAAACTTTTGTGTATTTTTCCCAGTATTTTTATTTCTAAGCTGGAATCATACTTTGGCTTTATTTCTATCTCTTTTAATGTTACTGTTTCCCGCAACATTAAATATTCTTTGAAAACTTGACATTTTATAGTTGTGTATAATTTTTTCTCATATACCATTTTAATCCTATGCTATGGACAGTTTGTTTCCAAATGTGTTTTGCTTTTAAACATGAAGAAAAGAGTTATATGGAAATCCTTGTGTGTGCATGACTGATTGTGCCCTTGAGAATTCCTAGGAGAATAATTACTGAGTCCAAACATACATTTTCAAGTCTCTCGTTACGTTCACATTTACTTTATATTTTTTAGTGACAGTTTTGACAGCCTTGCAAATAACTCCTAAAAACTGATTGGCACTGGTAATATTTCATTAAGTTGTACCAGGGTTGCAGAATGAGCATGGACCAAGATTGAGCCTAGGTAAAAAAGGAGAGACCTGAGTAAAGGGTTTAGTGAAAGGAGTTAGTATTAGAAAGTCATCTAGGCTATCTTTTAAGTTGTGGGATTTTTTTCTCCCACATTTATTTTTCTTTTATCCGTATAATGCCTTTTGTGAATTAGAGAAGGTAGAGAGACAAAACCAATTGTGACTTGACCAAAAGAGTTTGCATAAATTGAGCCAGGTCTAGATAGAACCCTACTTTGTAGAGCCATCCCATGCAGTAGTAGTATTCTGCCTCCTAATTATTAATGGGGGTTCGTTGTTTGTATATTCTCTTTGAAATAGGTTTCTCTAACCCTTTTTGTGTTTTCTCTTATACAAGACTAAGTATAAATTGGAGTAAATTTTATCTTTAGATTATGGCAAGAAAAGTTACCTGCTGAAATAAAGCAATTTCTAAATTGTGTTTACTTTGATTTTCAGTGATTAGAGACTTCCAAGAATATGTAGAACCAGGAGAAGACTTCCCAGCTTCTCCCCAGAGAAGAAATACTGCGTCACAAGAGGACAAAGATGACAGTGTAGTTTTACCTCTGGGTGCGGATACACTTACACATAACTTGGGCATTCCAGTACTAGTAGTTTGCACAAAGGTTAGTTTGCTTCCTAGGGATTCTGCTACTGATGTTCACTGAGGATGAACAACTGTTTTGTTTTCCAGGTTTTTTGGAGTTAACACATTAGTTCTCCTAGATGATTTTTTGTTAACAAATAATAGTTTAAAGTATTGAATGATATTAACATGTTGCTTTTGTGGTCTTAATTATAGTTTCTTTGAAAGAAAATGTTATTTCAAATACTCATGATTGAATCTCATTTTCATAATTCCCATTGAACTTCATTGTATGATCAGTCAGTTTAATAGAAATAATTACAGGTAAAATGATAGTTTATTGGTTTTTATAAACTTATTTTTCAACATTTTTTTTTTTTTTTTTTTGAGACGGAATTTTGCCCTTGTTGCCCAGGCTGGAGCACAATGGCATAATCTTGGCTTACTGCAACCTCCGCTTCCCAGGTTCAAGCAGTCTCCTGCCTCAGCCTCCTAAGTAGCTGGGATTACAGGTGCCCACCACCACTCCCAGCTAATTTTTTGTATTTTTAGTAGAGATGGGCTTTCACCGCGTTGGCCAGGCTGGTCTCAAACTCTTGACCTCAGGTGATCCACCCATCTTGGCCTCCCAAAGTGCTGGGATTACAGGTGTGAGCCACTGCGCCCAGCCTCAACATTGAATTTTTATATGTTCTCTAATGTCAGAGGATTATGTACTTAAAATAGACTTTTAAACATGTAGCAGTGCTCATTATATGAAGTTGACATGTAGTTATCAAGTGTTTCTGGTTTTTAAAAAGGTTCTGATAGGGTCACTATTATCAAAATTATATTATTGGTTATTTCACTGTATATGTTTTGTAATAAAATTAAGTTTCCTTTAAAAATAATTAATAGAAGACCAGGCGCGGTGGCTCAAGCCTGGGAACCTGGAAGGCGGAGCTTGCAGTGATCGTGCCACTGCACTCCAACCTGGGCGACAGAGTGAGACTCTGTCTCAAAAATAAATAATTAATTAATTTAAAAATACTTAATAGATCAGCCGAGTGCGGTGGCTCACGCCTGTAATCCCAGCACTTTGGGAGGCCGAGGTGGGCGGATCATGAGGTCAGGAGATCGAAACCATCCTGGCTAACACGGTGAAACCCCATCTCTACTAAAAATACAAAAAATTAGCCAGGCGTGGTGGCGGGCGCCTGTAGTGCCAGCTACTCGAGAGACTGAGGCAGGAGAATGGCATGAACCTGGGAGGCAGAGCTTGCAGTGAGGCGAGATCGTACCACTGCACTCCAGCCTGGGTGACAGAGTGAGACTCCGTCTCAAATAATATTAATAATAATAATAAAAAGATCAAGTTCATGTTCTCCCCGCTTGGTCCTGAGTGTGTGTTTTTACTGTTTGTAAGTCATGGAATAGTTAAGAAAATGACAGAACATAAGTCCTTTTCAGACCTGAAATTAGTGCTTTTTAATATGTAAAATTTGCGCATATAAAATTAAAGGAGGGTATAGAATTTGTTCATTGTTGGAGTAAAATTGATTGAAGTATTTAAAACCTACCTTAGGTTTTACTTTACTACAAAAATGATCCATAACAAAGGAATGGAGTGACAGCATTTAAAATAATTAAGTTAAAGTCTGCCATCTGCTTTCCAGTGGTGGTTCTGGTATAGTTGTTACGTACACCTTTTCTGTAAAACAGTATCTTAAAATCTCACACTGAAATCCTTCTGTGTGATTTGTTTTTTATTTTGTTTTGGTTGGTGAAGAGCTGTTTGTTTACTGGAAGTTGGTTCCGTTTTACAGCACTACATGCCTTATGAAAAGCAGTCTTACTTTCCAAAAGAAAAATGTTAAGCTTAAAGGGTCCGGAATCAGTATCAAGTGAGTCATAGAGTCATAACATTTTCAAACCAGAAGAGATCATCTACTGTATTTCATAAAATCTAAGACACTATCAGATGTATTTCAGTTTATGAACTTTTAAAATGTGTTAGGCATATGGAGAAATGTGTGTTTCCAAAGGGAGAGAAGTATAGTGGTTCAATGCCATCAGTTTAAAGACTCCAGAAATGGAGATTTCAGAGAGACTAAGTTTCTTGTCTTAAGTCCAGATCCTCTGATTTCAGTTAAAATATTTTTATTTTATTTTATTTTATTTTTGATATGGAATCTTGCTCAGTCGCCCAGGCTGGAGTGCAGTGGCGCGATCTTGGCTCATGGCAAGCTCCACCTCCCGGGTTCACGCCATTCTCCTGCCTCAGCCTCCCGAGTAGCTGAGACTATAGCCCCCACCACCATGCCCGGCTAATTTTTTTGTATTTTTAGTAGAGATGGGGTTTCACCGTGTTAGCCAGGATGGTGTTGATCTCCTGACCCTGTGATCCGCCCGCCTCGGCCTCCCAAAGTGCTGGAATTATAGGCGTGAGCCACCTCACCCAGCTTTAAAATATTTTTATTTAATACTAAACCACTATGCCTTTCCAAAAGTGTCATTAAGTCAAAGTATAATAATTATTTTTAATCTTTTGAAATCATTGTATTTGATAAAATGGGCAATGAAATGCTCATTATAATTCTGTAATGAGACTCTGTTTCATGCCATATATATGTTTTTATTTTCATTTTTATGGAGAGTTTTGCTATGTTGCCCAGCTAGCTTTGAACTCCTAGGCTCAGTCCTCCCTCCTCACCCTCCAAAGTAGTACAGGCGCACACCACTGCACCCTGTTAGGTTTTTTTGTTGTTGTTGTTACTTTATTTTATATATATATGTATATATAGTGTGTGTGTGTATATATATATGTAACAAAAAAATACATAGCAAATTTAACCCGAAACTAATATTGGGTGTAATGACCATTATTAAATGTTTATTTTTATATTTTACAGCTTCAATTCAAAAGTGTTTTGGTGAAATTATTTGGATGTTGTGATATTTGAACATGACTTCTTTGTATTTTTCTTAGCATTTTTCTGTAGCAAGCAGCATTCAGAATTGTCTCATTGATTGTACGGGTGACATTTCAAAAATCAGTTGTAATTTCCTTATTTTGTTATTAGTTGAGATTGTAATAAGAGTGAATAAAAACACCAGAAAAGAAATTAAGGTCGCTTGAGAATTATCAGATAAACACAGGAACAAAGAAGAAATGGTGAGAAGTAGAGACTCCCTGGATATGCAGAAGTGTTTTATAAAACTAAAATGGATGTTAGATCTTTTAAAACTTTGTTCCAGGTTATATAAGTAGTTGAGTTAGCAAGTATGATTTCTTAGAACACGCTAGGCTTGTTATTCTTCCTTCCCTTATGTACTAAAACTTTCTCTTTGGTATTCTGACCAGATTTAACGTTAACATAGAAGTTAATGCTTTTTAAAAAGATAAAATTATCCGTTAGTCCCTCCAAGTTCATAGAGTACTTGATATTCTGTGTCCTGCTGTTCATTTACCATATCAGAGTGGTACTTTTATGATGTTCCCCTATCCAGAATTGAACTGTTTAAATTACTATATTTAGTTTTGATTATTTTAAATGTATTATTTTTAATTATTTTAACTTAACAGTGTGATGCCATTAGTGTATTGGAGAAAGAACATGACTACAGAGATGAACATTTTGATTTTATTCAGTCACATATCCGGAAGTTTTGTTTACAGTGTATCCTTTTAAATACATTTATTAATTCAGTGTACCACTTTACCTTTTTTTGTTTTTTAAAGTTAAAAGAATTAAATTGATGGACTTGAGAAATTCTGTAAACATTTCTCCTTCTGCCTCTGGTTGAAAATTTCATTTTAATTCCCAAATTATTTATATTTGGATATTTCGAGATAGAAAAGCAAATATTGAAGTATATTACTTTGATTTGCTGTGTTTCAAGTATGCGTAAGAAAAATAATTATCAATTGTACGTGGAAAAGTCTAGTAAGCTGTATGAACAGATCTGATTGAAAAACTGTATTTGTTGGTGGGTGGTAGGGCAAAGTCAATATTGCGTTTTTTGTGTTTTCATTTTTAATTTATTTAGTGTGTTGTCATCTTCTCCACATATAGCCTAACAGTGGTTTCAAAATCTGGCTCTGCCTATCTAGACATATTGGATTAGAGTATTCCAAAGGGAGGCTGGAGAATTATCTATACGTTAGAAACCTTCCTGGAAAATCTATCATAGAAAGTCTTGTTAATCTAGATTGCAAGGATTAGGTAAGCCAGTGAGTAATAATTACATCTAAAAGAGGGAGAAAATGAAAGTTAACAGTGAATACTTTTTAGAGACTTTACTGTTGAAAACTTAGTTACACCTTGAATACACTGAAGAGTAAACTCACCAACCCTCTTGGATCAGATATTTTGCAGTTGCATTCCCCAGCCAAAGCTTTTGAGTCTGAAACGTAATGAAATGATATTAGGAATAGATAGTAATGAGTAATACACACATGTTTATAGTGTCTACAATTTATAAATCATTTTCATTAGTGGGCATTTAATTTAAGGACCACTTATAGAAAGCCTGAGTAAGATCACTTGACACTGATAGTTTCCCTTTCCCCTTTTCCCTTCTGTTCTTTCTCTTTATGGGCCTTTCTCTTTTGTCACCAAATGGCTGAGTTGGTTGAGTTAAAGGATACTAGTCTACCATAATGTCTTCAGAAATAAAATAAAAAGTGGGAGTAATTGTAGTATAGATATCTATAGCCCTTTTTTAATGTTATCTTTGGGGATTAGAAAATTTGAGAATAAACAGTCTCTTTAATCATTTATTTAATGCTATACTTAAAAATGTAAATACAGGGCCGGGCATGGTGGCTCATGCCTGTAATCCCAGCACTTTGGGAGGCCGAGGTGGGCGGATCACAAGGTCAGGAGATCAAGACCATCCTGGCTAACATGGTGAAACCCCATCTCTACTAAAAATACAAAAAAATTAGCTGGGTGAGGTGGTGGGCACCTGTAGTCCCAGCTACTCGGGAGGCTGAGGCAGGAGAATGGCGTGAACCTGGGAGGCGGAGCTTGCAGTGAGCAGAGATCATGCCACTGTACTCCAGCCTGGGTGACAGAGCAAAACTCCATCAAAAAAAATAACAATAATAGTAATGTAAATACAGAAATGTAATCGGAAAGGAAGCTTTCTACCAAAATAATTAGAGACCATTAGAGCCAGTTGATTTTAAAAGATTACAAAATGTGAGAAGTCATCTCAAAATAATGAGGTATGTATTTATCAGTGACAGACAGTGACAGTTCAAAATCACTTTTATTAAAGTTTTAATTGCAATGTAAGTTTTTCAGTTACAGAAATGTTCCAAATTATCATAATTTGGTTTTCTTTGTGGGGAAGGTCATTAATGCAAAGTTCATACAGTTAAACTTTTGCCTAAGATTATGTTTGTCTCTACCATGTTAAAGTTTCATATCAAAGTAAGTTTAGTAAGTTGTATTTAGCAATACTGCTTTTAGGTTCATAAGCCTCAGGTCATGTCCCAGAAAATATGAGTATCCCAGTTAAGAAGTTAGACTGTTCTCCCAGCATTTCCCCCTTGGCCTAGGTCACCATCTCCCTTGGAGAAACAAAGGCCAGTGCTAGAATGTGGGTTGTCATAGAATTTCTGGGAGCCACTCTGAACCCATCAGTGGTCAGTGGTCACATTGTCCACGTATGTCTTAATATTTACATCCACTGTGTCTTTTGGATAAAAGGTCATCTTCATGTGAGGTTGTGTGATTTCAAGTTTTGTCATGAAATGTGCTTTTGCCTTTGGTTATTCCTGAAAGCTTCCTCATTGGTACCTGCTGGTTCACCTTTCAACAATGGGTTTCTTTTACCCTCTGCAATGAGTGTCCTGAGGCTTATCCCTGAAGTCTTAATTCCTGTCTTTAGTAAAAACTACAAAAAAGCACTGTTACATACCATTTTTGTTGAAAAGGCAAACAAAACAGCTGCTGATAAGTAATATCCCCTCCGTGAAGTTTAGGAAAGTTAAAGTCATAAAAATTGTCCTTTCATGTGCTTTGAATATAGAAGTAGTAGTAGTGTCAGTATTTCTAGATTTACCTTTACTTCTTAATGAGACTTCTACCTTCCTAAGTTAAATTGATCATGTAAAAATTCTTTTATCAATTGTAGCCCGTATGAAGGTAGTATTTTTTACTTTTGAAATTCTTGATTACCATATAGTATACCTTTAGAGTTATTTCTGAAACCAAAATGCATAGAAATAAAAGTTAAGCTGAAAACACAGAATTTTATGGTATTTGCTCATGATATTTGTCCAGAATTTTCTTTAACCATATTATTCAGATGGTGCAGCACTTATTTACACTTCAGTAAAAGAAAACAAAAATATAGACTTAGTATATAAATACATCGTTCAGAAACTATATGGATTTCCCTATAAGATTCCTGCTGTTGTTGTGGAAAAGGATGCAGTATTTATGTAAGTGCACTCTTAAATACATAATTTTATCATGTATTATTGCTACTATTTGATGGTGAATCATTATTTTCAGTTTTGAGTTGGGACCAATAGACCTTTCCATGATGTGTAAGTGAGAATCTATCTGTTCCTAGATTGGTTTTTGTTTATAGCCTGTCTTGATTTATCTATTACTGCCTTTTAGATTTACTGCTGGCTTGAACCATTTTTCAAAGGTTTTTACTATTACAGCTAAACTGTCTACTGGGTGCCTATATTAGTGTATTGTATCTGCTTATTCTTTAATTGATTATGATAGATAAATGGCCAAATATGTGATCTAGACATGCTTTTAAAAAGTTACCTGGCTGAGCACGGTGGCTCACGCTTCTAATACCCAGCACTTTGGGAGGCCAAGAGTGGATCACTTGAGGTCAGGAGTTCAAGAGAAGCCTGGCCAAGATGGCGAAACCCCCTCTCTAATAAAAAAATACAAAAATTAACCCAGGTGTGGTGGTGCATACCTATAGTCCCAGCTACTTGGGAGGCTGAGGCCCAGGAATTACTTGAACCTGGGAGGCAGAAGTTGCAGTGAACCAAAATTGCACCACTTCACTCCAGCTTAGGTGACAGAGTAAGACTCCATTTCAAAAAAAAAAAGAGAGAGAAAAGAAAAAAAATTACCTGAATAGTACAGGCGCAGTGGCTCATGCCTAAAATCCCAGCACTTGGGGAGGCTGAGGTGGAAGGATTATTTGAGCACAAGAGCCCAAGACTAGCCTGAGCAACATCGTGAGATCCCATATGTACCAAAAATTAAAAAATCAGCCAGGTGTGGTGGTACGTACCTGTGGTTCAGCTACTTGGGAGGCTGAGGTGGGAGGATCACTTGAGCCTGGGAGACAGAGGCTGCAGTGAGCCATGGTTGAGCCACTGTACTCCAACCTGGGCAACAGAGCAAGACTCAGTCTCAAAAAAAAAGATAACCGTATAAAATTAGGAGGTAATAATTAGTGCCCCCTTCCCCCAAGTTAACACCAATGACATTTGTAATATTGGTAATCTTTTTTGAGACAGGGTCTCATTCCTGTTGCCCATCCTGGAATGCAGTGGCGCAATCTCGGCTCATTTCAGCCCCTACCTCCCAGGCTCAAGCGGTTCTCCTCTCTCAACCTCCTCCCAAGTAGCCAGGACTACAGGTGTATGCCACCATGCATGCCCAGCTAATTCTTTTCCTTTTGTATTTTTTGTAGCGATGGGGTTTTGGCATGTTACCCAGGATTTCATTTTAAGTAGAAATTAGTAAAACGTGGACATCATAATAAAAAGCTAATTCGTTTTCCATAATTGTTCAAATTGACTTCATAAAAGTGTTCCTTTTACATGATCTTGGACTAAATGCAAGAATGACTATATAAACGCTTGAGAATTTACCATATGTGTTTCTTTCCAGTCCAGCAGGGTGGGATAATGATAAGAAAATAGGAATATTACATGAAAATTTTCAAACATTAAAAGCAGAAGATAATTTTGAAGACATCATAACTAAACCACCTGTTCGAAAGGTAACCGTTTTAGTAAATAATTTCAATATTTAGACTTTAGACTAGACTGAGGGGAAGTCCATACTTTAAGATTGAAGGTAGAAAGGCAAAAATGTTCTTTTTCCATCTGGAGGCTTTCTAAGTATAATTTGGGTGTGTTTCTAATGTACGGTTTACATAAGGATTTGTTTTAGCAAAATATACATCAGCTATTCAGCTAATTAAATCTTTGCCCTTGGCATATTTATATTAGCAATTGTTAGTGCAGAATCCATATTCTAATATAGTGCCTTGGAAATCAGAGATTGGCATGAGTGAATATGTGGATCTTACAGAGTTTGAATAGGTAGAAGCCGTGAACTTTCCAATCTAGAGCTTGGCCAAGAGCCAAGAAGACATTACTAGAATAATTCTGTTGGTTCTATCTTTTGAGGCAGGTCTTGGATCTTCTCTCGAGTTAGTTACCCACATTAGCTCACAGCTATCCAAGAACTTGCAATTTTTTATATTGTTTTAGGTTTTTTTTTTTTTTTTGAGACGGAGTCTCGCTGTGTCGCTCAGCCTGGAGTAAAATGGCATGACCTCAGCTCACTGCACCCTCCGCCTCCCAGGTTCAATCGATTCTGTTGCCTCAGCCTCCCAAGTAGCTGGGATTACAGGCACCCACCATCTTGCCCAGCTAATTTTTTTGTATTTTTGTAGAGGCAGGTTTCACCATGTTGGCCAGGCTGGTCTCGAACTCCGAACCTCAAGTGATCCGCCTCCCTCAGCTTCCCAAAGTGCTGGGATTACAGGTGTGAGCCACTGCGCCCGGCCCAGTTTTAGTCTTAACTCTATCTATTAAATCAGATGCCAGAAGATACACTGCTTTCCTGTATCTTGATTTCACGTTAAGCAGTGTATAGTGTTCTATAGATAGAGATGTTTCCGAAAGCTCTATAAAAACGAGTATTTGCATAAATAGACTATCCCTAATCTGAAAATCCAAAATGCTCAAAAATCTGAAACACTTTGAGCACCAACATGACTCTCAAAAGGAAATGCTTATTGAAACGTTTTGGATTTTCAGATCATGGATGCTGAAGTGATAAGTATTAATGCAAATATTCAGCAATCTGAAACACTTCCACTTCTGGTCGCAAGCATTTCGGATGAAGGACACTCAACTTGTGGTACTTCTCACTGACTGACTTTAATCTTGACATATCAAGAAAAAATAATTTTGATTTAGAGTCTTCAGAATCCAAACATTCATAAAGCATCCATCTTCTGTTCGTGGGTTATTGTTAGTAATAAAAAAAGGTCAGCCAGGCGCGGTGGCTCACACCTGTAATTCCAGCCCTTTGGGAGGCCGAGGTGGGCGGATCACGAGGTCAGGAGTTCGAGACTAGCCTGACCAACATGGTGAAACCCTGTCTCTACTAAAAATACAAAAATTAGCCAGGCGTGGTGATGCGTGCTTGTGATCCCGGCTACTTGGGAGGCGGAGGCACGAGAATCGCTTCAACCCGGGAGGCGGAGCTTGCAGTGAGCTGAGATGGCACCATTGCACTCCAGCCTGGGCAGCACAGTGAGACTCCAAAAAAAAGAAAAAATGAAAAAGTCAAATGAAAAATCAGTTGGTGTGGTATTTGGTTTGGATATTTATTAAAAGAAATGCATACATAAAAATAAAAGAGCAAAAATATTTTGCATTCTTTTACTAACAGATTATGCTTTTTTAATTTATCTTTTTCTTTTATTCATTCCACAAATATTTATTGAGTATCACCTCAGGCCCTGTTTAGGTTCTAAGTGCTAAATGGGAAGGAAAGTGATACATATAATAAACCAATATATAGACACCTGTCAAGTAGTGATAAGTGCTACAGAAATAAAGCAGGGTGTAGGGAGAATAAGCGAGGGGACTGGGCTATGAGGCATGCTGTTTATGAACGCTGGGGGAAGGTCTTTGATAAAGAGGAGAGAATGCTGAAAGCAGAGGGAACTAAAAGTGCACATGCCCTGAAGCAGAAATGTATGAGGAAGACTGAGCAGGAAAGAGCTGTGAGGAAGGTTAGAGTGCTAGGAGATGAGAGGCAGAATTAAGTTATTGTGGGTCTTTTATCATTAGGCTACAGTAAGGACTTTGGGTTTCATTCTGAGTTAGATGGAAAGCGATTGAGAGTTTGAGCAGGGGAGTGATATAATCTGACTTAACCTTTTAAAAGAATCACTGGCTCCTGGGAAGAAAATAGATTGGGTATGTGTTATACAGCAAGAATAGAAGCAGGAGACTTTGCAATTCCTTTTCCTAATTACTCAGCTCATAGAAGAGCCATTATATTTTGATTTCAGAGAAACAAGGGACAAGTTGCATTTCACTTAACTAGGATATTACTGGCCCTTTTAAAACACCGTAACTGCTGTTTAGCAAATTTTGTAAGCATGATTAATATGCTTGTGACTCTAGGGTTGTGCTGTTCAACACAGTAGCCACTTGCCTCATATGCCTTTTAAATGTAAAATTAGATAGAAATCAATTCCTTAGTAACACTAGCCACATTTCAAGTGCTCAGTAGCCACTGGTGGCTAGTGACTGCCATACTGAACAGCAGAGAGATAGAACATTTCTAGAACTGTAGCTAATTACTGGACATCTCTGCTGGAGGCCTTGGGTAGGGCAGCTCACACATGTGAACGTAAATATAGTATAGGTAATGTTCACATTCTTGAACTGTTTTTTAATTAATCTAGAGAATAAGTTACTAATGGTGTTAGCATAATATATTAAACTTGCTCATTTGTGCATTGCTCATTTCAGTTTGTACATGAGAAGGAAATTATGGCAGAAGATGATCAAGTGTTTCTTATGAAGCTACAGGTATGAAATTATATCAGAAGCAGACTTAGTATGGTTAATAAGTAAACTGTTCTTGTGTGTATTTTCTTTAAAAATACACTAGTATATGCTATGAATGTCTAAACTAGGATTATTTTGGTTTTTTTCAGTCCCTTTTAGCAAAGCAGCCACCAACTGCAGCTGGAAGGCCTGTGGTCAGTATTACAAATTTTGACAAAATGATTAAAATGCAGTACATATTATTTTAGTTCTTTTTTCTTAAATATGTACATATTTCATATGGGTGTGCTTTGATATAAACTTGAATTCAGAATGCTTCTATAATTTGTGAGATTTTAAAAGTGTAAAGATCTATTGGTAACATTTGTTGTATGTCAATACTCAGCCATTTATGTGTCATTTTACAAATTCTCACAACCACCTTATGAGGCAGAACTGTTAATTAGCCCCATTTTGCCGATGAGGAAATGGGAGCCTTAGGGAGGACACTGTGACTTGCCTGAGATTATAAAGCTAGTAGAATACAAGTCCAGATTGGAAACCAAATCTGACTCCCAAGCTTGTAACTATACATCATCAGTCAATATGTTCTTTATTTTCTATAAAAGGAAAATTAGTATGTTAAAATGTAATGAGCCTCTGTCTGGCATTCTCTAATAATGAGGACAGGATTGCTAACAATTTTGTCAATGGCTTGCATCATAAAAGTACCAGCAGAACAGGGGATAGTTGCAAAGTAATTTCTTTTTACAATAATAACTTTTGTGAAAATGGAAGTTTCAGGTTTTTATAATTGTATTTTCCTATTTTTACATAGGATGCTTCACCAAGAGTCCCAGGAGGCTCCCCGCGAACACCAAATAGATCTGTATCATCTAATGTTGCCAGCGTATCACCCATCCCTGCTGGGTCAAAAAAAATTGATCCAAACATGAAAGGTACATCTCTTTTTAGGAGATAACAAGACGATACATTTTATGATAGTAATCTAAAATTCCACCTTTTGCCATAACTATTTTCATTCTTGTGCAGTATCTTTTAGGCTTTGTCTCTATGGACATATAATCTCATAGTTAATCAGATTGTAAACCATTTTACAGTGTATTTGTGATATATCATTTCCATGATAGAAGTTTTGTTATATTTAATCACTTTCCTGGTAGATCATTGAAGAAATTCACAATTTACACTATAGTAGGTAATCTGCAATTAACATAAAGAAAAAAAACTATATGCATAATAGTTATTTCTGTAGGAACAATTGCCATAAATGGGATTAGTAGGTCAAAGAGTTTGTTTTTATGCCTTTGGATAATATTTTTTCAAATGGATTATTCAACTTTGCATGTCATCAACATTGAGTGCTGCAGTTTTACCACAACCTAATTAACATGCTTTAAATACTACCTAATAAGAGTTTTTCCCCTAGTATTTTCCTTCTATTTTTGTTTCTCTTCTGTGAATTGTTTATTGCTATCATTTGCCCATTTCTCTCTGGGAACTGCTGCCGGTTTTCATGTAGGATACCTAATATTTGAGGCAATTTCCCAACAGTTCTATTTTTAAAGAATTCTTTTCAAAAGGGAGATATATATTAGTATATAACATCTTTTTGTTTAAAATACCTTTGACCTTTTAAAAATAACATTCTAATTTTTAAATATTACACTTTTAAAGTTTACTCATTAAAGAAATTACTCAGCATCAAAAGATCAAACTAGACTTGAATTTGGAATATAAAACTCTTAAATTTTAAGTTTATTCATTTTCTGTGTGTGATTACTATAATAATAATTTGTGGAAAAATCTTACGTTTTGACTAAAGCTTTTTTTTTTTTTTTTTAATAGCTGGAGCTACAAGTGAAGGTGTTCTGGCAAATTTCTTCAACAGTTTGTTGAGTAAAAAGACTGGCTCTCCAGGAGGCCCTGGTGTGAGTGGTGGTAGCCCTGCAGGTGGGGCTGGAGGTGGAAGCAGTGGTTTACCACCATCCGCCAAAAAGTCAGGTATGCGTATGGGGAGCAAGTCACTTTTTTAAAATAACAGCTTTATTGAGATATAATGAAGTTCACTGATGCATAATTCTTTACTAAGAATTTGGTATCTTTACTAAGTTGGGCAGGCCATTACCATAATCTGATTTTAGAACCTTTTTATCTCCCCAAAAGAAACCTTGAATCTTCTCTCTTTCTTCTGTGGATTTGCCTATCTGGACATTTCATGTAAATGGAGTTATACAATGTATGGCTTTAACAAATGTTTTTGAAAGTCATACATATTGTAGTATGTATCAATACTTCATTTCTTTTTTTTTTTTTTTTTTTTTTTGAGACGGAGTCTCACTCTGTTGCCCAGGCTGGAGTACAGTGGTGTGATACTGCAGCCTCTGCCTCCAGGGTTCAAGTGAGTCTCTTGCCTCAGCCTCCCGAGTAGCTGGGATCACAGGCACCTGCCACCATGCCCAGCTAGTTTTTGTATTTTTAGTAGAGATGGCGTTTCACCATGTTGGCCAGGCTGGTCTCAAACTCCTGGCCTCAAGTGATCTGCCCACCTCAGCCTCCCAAAGTATTGGGATTACAGGTGTGAGCCACCATGCCCAGCCTTCATTCCTTTTTAATTGCTGAATAATATTTCATTATATGGCTGTACCACATTTCATTTATCCATTTACTGAGTGATGGACATCTGAGTTTCATCTACTTTTTGACTATTATTAATATGGTGCTGCTTTGAACATCCATTTTTGTGTGGATATTTGTTTGTAATTCTCTTGGGTAAGTACCTAAGTGGAATTACTGGGTTGTGTAGTAACTCGGTTTAAACAAAGGTTTTGAAGAACTGCCAGAATGTTTTCCAAAATGCTGTATCATTTTAAATAGTCAGCAGGTTAGGAAAGTTTGTTTCTCCATATCCTTGCTACATTATTATTGTCATCTATTGTTACCACTCATCATCTTCTCTAGATGCTAAATTTTTGTTGCTGTTTTCTGTTTTACTGTTCTTATTGTCCTGTGCCTTAAAAAAAAAAAACAAAACCTTTATGAGGTTAAATGATAGGTGCCAGTTTTAACTCCATTTGGTAACAGATCTACAATTTAAAATGAGGGAATTTGTTTTTTCTTGAAATGTATATTTTTTTTATTTTTTATTTTTTAGACAGAGTCTCACTCTTGCCCAGGCTGGAGTGCAGTGGTGTGATCTCAGCTCACTGCAACCTCCACCTCCCGGGTTCAAGCAGTTCTCCTGCCTCAGCCTCCCGAGTAGCTGGGATTACAGCAGGGTTTCACCATGTTGGCCAGGCTGGTCTCGAACTCCTCACTTGAAGTGATCCTCCCACCTTGTCCTCCCAAAGTGCTGAGATTACAGGCGTGAGCTACCACATCTGGCTTGAAATTTTTAAATCAAGGGTTGTTTATGTAATTAGTGTGCTAAATAAAGTTAATGAAAGTGTTAGCAATTTTTAAATGAAGAGATATTGGTGAAAACGATACTTTCACTTATATCTAAATCTTGTTTCTTTTCTTTTTCTTCAATGTAGGCCAGAAGCCTGTCTTAGATGTTCATGCGGAACTAGATAGAATTACACGAAAACCAGTTACAGTTTCTCCCACAACACCTACATCTCCTACGGAAGGAGAAGCTTCTTGAAGATACCAAATAAAGCCATTTATTCAGTTTTCTGGGATAAAGTAAACATGCCTCTGCCTTTTCCTTCAAAAGTGGAATTAGAAAGCTGGAGTGCTTCTTCAGATGGACTAAATTTATGTCTTTTGTGTGTGTGTGTGTGTGTGGTTGCCCATTTTTTAGAAGGAGCTATACAGAAGAAAAATTATTCTACATTATGTAGGATTGCTGTTTGCATTGCCATTTTGCATAAGGAAGTAATTTTTGATTTTGAAAATCTCAAAACTTTTAGATCTGAAATACAACCATGTGATCGTATTCTAAAGGCTATTTAAAACGTAAAAAGAGTTTAGGGGAAGGGCAGAAAACATGCAATCTGGGCATTGACTGACTTGGAAGTCTAAGCTTATTTTAGTTATAACTATTAAAATCATTTTTAAAAATTTGTTAGTTTTGCTGACAGAGAAAAATCGTCAGTTGTCAGATTTTGCACACCAAAATAAATGTACCACCACACACGGAATATGCTAAGAAAATTATCAGATAGCGTTTGATACACTAGTCATTGTCTCAATCACTGATCCTGTAAGTTGTCACCAAAATATGATTTAGAAATACTGGCCAAGGTGTTTCTTTAACTGAGAAGAAAAGAAAGCACACTGCCTAAATGTGTAAAAGAAAAATGCAGAGGTTATTCAAATGTAAAGAGGTAACAATCTTTGGATTTGTCTATACATATATATATATATGGCTTTGCCTTAATATACCCCCTTTTTTGTTTGTGACTTTCAACTGTAATCAGTTAATAAAGTATTTATTCTCTGCATTCAGGTTCAAATAACTTGTTGCATTCTCTTATGTTTAAATTTACATGTGTCAGCTAATAAATGAGATTCATTAGTACAGTCATCCCTTGGTATCCATGAGGGATTGGTTCCAGGACCCACCTCAGGTACCAAAATCTACAGATGCCCAAGTCCCAGATATAAAATGGCATAGTATTTGCATATAACATTCACATCCTCCTGTTTCCTTTAAATCATCTCTAGATGATAATACTAATTCACTATAAATGCTATGTATATACTTACACTGTGTTGTTCAGAGGAAAATAACAAAGTGCCTGTTTAGTTGCAATTTTTTTTTTCAAATATTTTCCTTCTGCCATTGGTTCAATCCATGGATATGGAACCCACAGATACAGAGGGCTGACTAATTTAAAATGTTTGACCTAATTAGTAATATAATTATTAAGCATTCTGACCTAAGAGATAAATGAATACATGAGATTCCCTATCCTATAAATTTCCTTAATTTGGGAATTTGCCTTGGTCATTACATCTTCCTCACAGGCCTGCCTCAAACTCTAGAATCGTATGTCAGCATATCTAGTAGATAAAAATACAGCCTTTTATCATTTAACGGGAAGAAGTTGTTTTAAAAGCTTGGCAGTTGCACTAACACATAGCCACTCCCTTACAGGTGAGAACACCTGTTACTGAGTCCACCTTTTCAATACTCAGTTTTCAATTACTGTTTTAGAAACTTCAATAAGAACAAATGGATCTTTTTATTGAAGTTCAGCTAAAGAACACATCTACATTTGACCTGAGTCATTTATATAGTTGGGGGCAAAATGGTTACTGCCCTTTAAATTGGTCTTTGTTGCTACTTTGAAATCAATATTCCGAAGTTTTTTTAAACAAAAAGTTTGAAGACAATACCTCTATTATCTAACACAATCACTTCATTAAAACTTTAAAATCTATTTAGTCTTAACAGTATTTGACACCTTATATTTAATATAAATGTAAAAAATACGTGAGAGATTGGGTGTGGGTGGTTCACACCTGTAATCCCAGCACTTTGGGAGGCTGAGGTGGGAGGATTGCTTGAGCCCAGGAGTTTGAGACCAGCCTGGGCAACATGAGACGACATCTTTACAAAAAGTTATCAGGGTGTGGTGGCACATGCCTGTAGTTCCAGCTACTTGGGAGGCTGAGGTGGGAGGATCACTTGAGCCCAGAAAGTGGAGGCTGCAGTGAACTGTGATTGTGCCACTGCACTCCAGTTTGGGAGCTAAACCTTGTTGCAAAAAAATACATATATATAAAATATATATGTATAAATATATATATGCATAGCTGTATATGTGTATATGTATATCTACATGTATAAATATAGATATACACGTGCGTGTATATGAGAGGATAAAATGGTGTTCATGGACATACAAAAATTTATGAAAACATTTTGTCTGAGAAAATATTTGAGGTAGGCCAGGCACGGTGGTTCATGCCTATAATCCCAGCACTTTGGGAGGCCGAGATGGGCGAATCATGAGGTCAGGAGTTCAAGACCAGCCTGGCCAAAACGGTGAAACCCCATCTCTACTAAAAATACAAAAAATTAGCTGGGCGTAGTGGCGGGTGCCTGTAATCCCAGCTACTCGGGAGGCTGAGACAGGAGAATCACTTGAAGCTGGGAGGCGGAGGTTGCAGTGAGCCGAGCTCCCACCACTGCACTTCAGCCCCAGTGACAGAGTGAGACTCCGTCTCAAAAAAAAAAAATAAAAAAAATCTGAAACCTATTTTTGTAGCATTTTTTTGCAAGTAAATTTGTTTTAAAACTATTTGTTTTTAAGCAAACTTTATTGAAGTACACAATACAGAAAAAATGTACAAGTGTATGGTTTGAAGTATCACAAGGTGACCACGTATAACCAGCACCAAAATAAGCAACAGAACATTAGCCAGCACTCACAGAAGCTTCCAGTGTGCCCCCTCAATCAATATCACCACCCACCAAGTAACCACTGCCTAACTTACAAATACGCAGATAAGTTTGGCTTATTTTTAAGCTTTATATAAATTGAATCTTACAGAGTATTATTTTAGCGCCAGGCATCTTTCAATATCAGGTTTGTGGTTAATCCATTTTGTTGCGTGTATCAATAGTTATTGCAGCATGTTATTGCATTGTGTAAATATAGTATCTATTATGCTATAGATGGGTATGTATTAGTTTCCTGTTACTGCAGGAAATTACCACAAATTTGGTGACTTAAAACCATACAAATTTATTATTTTACCATGCTGGAGGTTAAAAGTCCAAAATAAGCCTTACTTGGCTGAAGTTAAGTGTCAGCAGAGCTGGCCTTTTTTTTTTTTTTTTTTTTTTTTTTTTGAGGCTCTAGAAGAGTATCTGTTGTCTTTCTTTCTGGCGTCTAGAAGCTGCCTGCATTCTTTGGCTCTTGGCCGCTTCTCCAAAGCCAGCAGCCTAGCATCTTCAACTCTGCATCCATCACATCACTTTCTTTCTGATCTCCCTGCCTCCCTCTTGTAAGGATTGAAGTGATTAAATTGGGCCCCCTTGAATAATTCCATATACCCTCCCTCAACACTTTAAATATTTCACTGCACTCTTTTGCTTGCATTGTTTCTGAAAAGGAATCAGATGAAATTCTTATCTTTGCTCCTCTAAAGGGGCTTTTTTCCTCTGGCTTCTTTCAAGACTTTTTCTTTAATTTTCTGCAATTTGAATATGATATGCCTAGGTGTAGGGTTTTTTTTTTTTTTCCATTTATTTTCATTTTATTTTATTAATTTTATTTTATTTTTTGAGGCAAGGTCTCACTCTGTCACTCAGGCTGGAGTGCAGTGACTCAGTCAGGGCTCACTGCAACCTCTGCCTCCCAGGCTCAAGCAATCCTCCCATCTCAGCCTCCCTAGTAGCTGGGGCTACAGGCACGCACCACCACACCCAGCTATTGGGTTTGTGAAGACAGGGTTTGTTTGTGAAGACAGGGTATTCACCATGTATTGTTTGTGAAGACAGGGTTTCACCATGTTGTCCAGGCTGGTCTCAGACTCCTGGGCTCAAGCCTCTTGCCTCGACCTCCCAAAGTGTTGGGATTACAGGTGTGAGCCACTGCACGCAGCCCATTTATCTTTCTTTTTTTTTTTTTTTTTGAGACGGAATCTC